CACTAATTAATCATAACCTGCTATTCGCGCTGAGTTATTTCGTGTAAGCTTAAGTCAGCTGGAAAAGTCTTTACCTGTTATATATCTTAGATTTAGTTTTCTAAACAAAAGTGCACACGAAATCAGTTACTTGGCAATGTTTATAATCCTTATTTCCACCTTATTTGTCATCTTAGCATGTTGTTTTCTAATTGTCAGTCAAGACTTTTCTGCATACTTCACCTCCCTTTCTAAACATGAGAAGTATGCTGCTTCTTCAGTTTTTTTGTAATAGCTTTCGACATAATGGCCCCAGAACCCTATTTTCTTGTTCTATCTATTCATTTAAAAAGTAATTACCGACGACTTTCCAATTTAGAAAAAATAGTGGTATATTATCTCTATGCATATTTTTGAATTCATCTGATTGACACAATTGTGTGGTGAACAAGAAGTGACAAACTGTATTTTAAGTTTCACTGGAGGCACCGAAATTAATGTAATCTTCCAACGTGGTTTACTCATATGACATATAATAACAAGATACAAACTTATCTTTAAGTAAGGATAACAAAATGATAACCGATAATACACATAGTAATCGATTTATGATTGATTTATCTAAATCTAACTACTTGGATGAAAAGAATATTAGACTTTCACATTGTTATTACAGGAAATATCAGTCACCAGGCGTTACTACGTAGTAAAATACAATCAAACATATCTGTACATGATAGGGCGTTACAAATTAACGGCTTCTGTTTGCTAGCACGAAACGTAGGTTCAGAAACTCCTGTTCACTACCTCCATCCACCATCTTATTTCAAGGATTATTTACATGCAAAATAAAATGGATTAAAAGTAAACTTGATATGAAGTTCTAGTTGAATTAGCTGCAGATGTTTAATCACGACATTCCTTTTGTGTAATTTTCATTAAATATAGTGATGTGAAATTGATACTGCATAGAAAAACAAGTATATTTTAATTTATTCATACGGAAACTTAATTGCGTATGTGAATTCTTTCATTAATTATTTATGTGGGTGGAATGAAGTCTGTAAAATCTTTGTAAAGAAGACAAATCATTTTCAGAAATGCTTTCTAAGCATACGGGATTCATAGTATCAGAAAACTCAATATATTTTAATTTTTCTGAAATAATCCAGATATATATTCACGTATAAATCTGTTTTCTAACACTTCACAAGCATTCCAACATACTAATCAACCATAATTAATTTAAATAATACAAAAAATGTATTTGTAATAACATCTACGTAAAGTTCATTAGTTTACATTACACACTCGTGATATTATTTATTTACTTATAAGTACGTCTATTTATCTTAATTAAGTAATCAGTTGAAAGCAAGATCTGATAGCCAAAATACATTCAGTCATTTCATAAATAAATTGTTCACCCGGACTAGTAATTTGGTTAAATATTATTTTCTCGGATCTCTTATAGGCAAATGTTTCGAAGTGTATCCTCAAAGTAATATCATTGGTTCGTTGATCCACCCCAAATAAATCATCTCCAGGTTATTTATTCTTCAATGTTTCACATTGGAAAACTCCCACTAAACGAGGATTTCTGCAGAAACTAAACAAACGTGCACAATTTACCAAATTAAGATGTTAAAGCTCTCCAATTCATACTGGATGTCTGAAGGTTCAGCTACCCACACATTCTACCGTTTCTAATCGCTATTTAAAATAGTCACTAAACATAATACTAATCTAGATATCTATATTTGAACCATCTATACTTAACTGAATCGCCAACTATTCAAACCATTAGGTTTCACGTTTTGAAACCAGAAAACAGTTTGTTGAATAGTATAATCTATCTACAAAATACTTTACATCAGGATTATCTCTACAAAAAGCGCTGTGTAGAATAATTACTTTTGACATTGATATTAATTCACCTTAAACGAAGAGTATGCTAACAATAAATTACTCGCTAGTTCTATAGTTCGAGTACCATGAATTGATTTCATAGTCACAACTATGACCATGTTTTTAACGAATTTAGTCATGATCGATCCTGAAGAACACAAATGAAAGCTGAAAATATACAGTTGTTAGAAGTTTGGATACATTTTAAACTATGCACGAAGTCCATCACAGATATTTCGTCAATAATGGTAAGTGTAGTGTAGAATTTCCCACATCACTACTTCGCTACCTTGAACCTAGTCATCAAACCAGATACTTTATTCAAAAATTTCGAATTCCGCTCATTACAGGATATTATCTGACCAACCAACTAATGAATATATATCGATCCCATTCCCGATGTCCTACTACTTATCATTATCCTCACGTCCAGTGTGTCATAGTTGATAAATAGAATAAAGATCTCTATTAGCTGAAGACACTGTGTTGATGATTCTAATTAACAATATCGGAACTACACACATGACATCATCTCAACATATGTGTGGATAACAATCACAAACAAGACACATAACCATGTATAAACCAAAGCGATTACATTTAATACTATGACACTCTCATACAGTTTGTTATCAGATCTGACCAGAGTTATCGAGAAGTCAGAATGATTCAATTGACTGTCACCTGTTTTGTTGCACTAGTTATTAGAACGAATAATAATTCAAGTTGTACAACTAAGGCACTCATAGGGAGATGTACAAACACAAAATATCAAATTACACAGTTGTTATGCGTCTGACGAAGAATTCATGTTAATAGGCAAACAGAACGAGATCATGCCAACGATAACTCTGATACATACGTATCTACACCACTGATGCTCTTCTCTTTTGCCTATATTTTTGACAAATATATTTTCAACTCACTATATGAGATAAATTGAGCATGATTCCGAAATTGATGTACGGAAATGCATTTGCATCTCGTAGATTAGACAATTTATCAAAATATGTGCTGCAATTGACTGAGGTGAAAATTAAGTGAGATTATATTTAGTTAGTATGGAAAATTAACTAACCACCAGTCTTATTATACGTGCCAATCACTTCGTCATGTTACTTGAGATAATTTCAAGCGGATTTCGTTGAAATATAGGTTCGTTTTTCTAACGTTTCCTAATCGAACACTACAGTGTAAATTAGATTGGTTATACGCTAGACTATTAGAAATCAACAGGAAATACGAAGTATTTGGCAAGAATGTTAGATGCGTACCATTCTACTTTGTCACAGACAGCGGATTATAATCAAAGTACAGGTTGTTACATATGTTCGACAGCCCAACTTAACACAACATCAACAGACCAAGGTGAACCTTAAGACCATCAATAGCTAACGAGTCGAAATATTAATGCTATCAATAGTGATGTTGCGTGTCGATTGACTAATTCTCAAGTCCTACCAATTCAGATGACCTGTCATGACAATGACAAGTTAGACGAAAATTAGACAGAACTGTTAAGTCCGAATTCACCAGAGTGAGCTACCTACGAAATTGGTACTGTCCAAAAGTTCATGAAGTCTAGTCATATTACTTCTGTGTGAAATGTGTTAAACTATTATTCAGTGAGAAACTTATTCTGCTGTACAGTTAATTTATCTTCTCATATCTGTTCATTCGGCAGTTACGTCAACAATCTGGTCTCATGAGAAGACATCACCCTGCCACATCGTGTCACTGCACATCATTTGTCGATCAGTGTTCTGTTCTAATAACCAGAAGCCTTGTTCGTCTATCACTAAATCCTTCATCATAAAACAATGACTATCTTAATTCCCTCCTCTGCAATTTCACTCTGGCGATGATACCACATTCCAAAATAACATTAAAAAACTAGTATTCACTTTGGAGATACGACATAACCACGCTAGAACACCAAACATTTGTACCTATCTTCACGACCACACAAACCCTTACAGTTAATCTGATGCAATGACAGCCCCTGTTAACACCAACCAACCGTCATACTGGAGGCTTGTGAAACTAACTAACAAGAGTAGCTGTCGTATGATGATCAGACACGATCATTTCTAAATCATTCACCTTAGTTTTATGCAATCCACTTTCATTAAACTAGTAATTTTGGACAGTGGCTTACACAGTTAACTGATAGATATCCATTTACCTGGAAGTGAGCTTAATCTATGCAATGAAGCCCACTAATACATACACAACAAAAATAGCCCTGAGATATCAAAGCACAGACCATCCAGATCTTTGGAAAATACTTTATTCAGCAGGGCTTTAGATTGTTTTCTACAGTAAGTGTAAAATATAAACTGCAATTTCGATTCACCTTAATGTGTATCGCTCAGTTTCCTTGTTATTGTAGAGATGGTTATGTTAGCCATAAGAAGCGAGCCCTTGGTAAACGAATATCCTAGCACTACCATGCATGGTTATCTAAAGGGGTATACAAATCACTCAATAGCTCATTTCTCGAACACATGGTCAATTCAGTTCACACGCCACCACGCATATCTGTGTTCAAAATCCTCAAAAAAGGTTTGGATGAGGAATTTATGCACAGCTGAGGTTATAGTAACTAACCATATCAATACTGAATTCTGTGTAAAGAAGAGCCACGTTCAACCCCTTATTCTCCCATGGTAATTACCTCTTCAAAACTTACAAATTATAATTGCTAATTATTATCATCTGCTTCTCCTCCGTTATTAAGTAGACATTTATCTCTATCTTCTATCCCATAGATCAATATCTTTTATTGCTTCCAAAACTATTACATACCATAAGCACTTGATTGTTAATTACTTTGTTAGATGACGCAACCTTCCTTATGAAATACTTGTAAACTTTAATTACATTAAAATAATACCCCTTCGATGTATAAACTATTACTTGAAGGTTTTCGACAACGACTATATCATTGAAAAGGACTTTATTGTGACTAACCTCCACTTAAATAAATCTAACTATTTTTGATAATATTGTAAAACCCCTCTATGTTACGATAGACTAGTACACATAAAAAATCACTCATCAAGACAATAGTACAGCTTCAGGAAATGACATCGTCGAAAAAAACTTTCTTTGCTGAAAAGTCTTCTTTTTCTTAAATAACGGTCATTGATAATACAAGCAAAGTCACCGAACAGTTGAAATCAAAATAATGGGGAAGTTAGTTAAGATAAGCATCTACATACAGAAGTGAACTCAATTGCTTAAGAGACACATTCCACAACCAACAATAACACGTTATGATTCAATATATAAAAAGCATTTCGGTATCTCAGATATGCAGGAAAAATAACTAATGTCAAGTAATAAAAATGGAACGAAGTATGAGAGAATAAGGCATTTCCACACAAGACAGCATGTTCAAACTTGGAAAAGTGAATAAACAGGAACGCCAAGATCTTCTAGTTTTTTACGTCCAGGCAGATTCTTCAGTTCCATGTACAACAAGCTGAATAAAACCTTAGCTCCAGATAGGTTTACCAAATTAACACAAGCTTCAAGACTTCCACCAGTGGCTAAAACATCGTCCAATAATAATACATTATCACCAGAATTGATAACATTCTTTTGCATTTCTACGGTATCCTATGGTTACAAATAAACAGTAGGACAATGAAGGGCATGTTCCAGAGGAATATTGAATGAAATAAGTATAAATATCGATTAAAATTGCTATTCATATAAACGGTTAACTCTTTACCATCCCTACTATCAAGGCTACTGCGAAAGACTTACAAAGGGTATTGTATTCAATATTAAACCTATACTTAGAATAGTTAACACTTGAGTGACTCCAAATGGAAGCTAGACTTTCCAACCTACTCTGTGAGGAGTAGTTACACTTAATGTTTCGGTAGATAAAGGGACTGTCTTATATCAGCAGTAGTCACACCCGATGAAACACTAATAATTTTCTACAACCATGATCGATTAGTCACACTGAGAAGTTGCCTCCTATTGTGTAATTTTCAATTGAAAATTCTTGGCAAGTCATTATAGGAATATTTACGATTGCTTTTACAAAACATCTGGATCATAACAGAGACAACAAAATAAGCTAATGACATTTATAGATATTCCAGGCTAACTTAAACTGGATTTAAAACAGTTTGTACGCTGAAGAGCTCAAAATTCGTTACTGTAGCTCTGTTGATTCTTAAGCACTTCAGACAATGACAGTATTTGAGCGCATGATTTTATCCTTTTAGTTATAAGTATACAAACTTTCTATTGTTAGGAAAGTAAACAATGAGCCAAGCAACCACTGTTGCAACTGATTGATTAGTTAGTTTAGCTCGTAGATGCCAAATGACTAAATCTACTACACTAGTCACAAGAGAAATATTAATTCGTCACTTGTGTGGAGTTAATTGCAAAAATAACAATCTTTAAGTCACAAATCATATGATTTGGTAATATTACCACAAACTTACAGTTCCATATTCCAATGTATATCGATGAGAGTAACAAGGACCTGGAAGTTTTCCTGCTTTTCGAATAGGGACGAAAGAGCAGTTCAGACGAAGGGCAAGTGCTGGTCCAAGTAGAAAACCACGTGACTCGAGACCCACAACAACATCTATCTTCTAACGTACTGTACACAGGTTGTAACACAACTTACTTTACATTTACACGCTGCCTCGGATGTCGCCACATAATATAATTCATCCAATAGATATTGGGTTAAGACAGGATTCATGAAAACACCAAAGAAGTCACTTCATAGGTATAAGCACGTATTATATGGAAAGGATAAAGTACCGGAAGAGAATGCCTTTCACTGGAAAGTTCGGTATAATCCCGACAGCTGACTCGATGGCTCTAAGTCTAGAATCGCGATCAGACATTTTACGAAATGGACTGTAACTGTAACATCCACAGCTCAGTCCGATCAGTATTTATACACTTATGTTATCAGATGTAACGAAGACAGGTTGTTGTACAAGCACTACTTGGTTCATTAAATAAGAGTTTAGTAGGACAATTCTTGGTAATGTCTTTGATTCATGCCATGAAATTCACAACATGTATTTTTTCCTTACATTTTGTGTACTGCGCTACACCGAGCCTGTGTCCCGTATCGACCATGAAGTCGGCCCCACTGATTTTGCTAGAGACCCCAGCTAAAGGTGCTCGATCACTCACACCAGATCGCCATTGGGTACATCGTGCTACGCGTCCTTTCCAACTATTAGCCAGCTTAGATCAAGCGTTTCTTCGACATACCGATAGCCCATCAAATATATCTTGGGAAAAAAGTCCGCGCTTTTCGAACAGGAATTTTAGTCCTAACATGATTTGCATTTATCAAACTTTTGCTGTTATTTTACGCAATAAAAATACCGTTTCTAGTCGAAAGAACCTATTCTGAGCTATACGTTTAGCAGATTACTTTTTTTCGGGTTTCACCCAATTTAATAGTTAACCGTGGTTTTGCCTCAGCTTACCATTCGGTTTTTTTTCAGTTTTTCATGTAAAGGCTAGTTCAGTTTATCTCATCGGGTTTTATCCTTTTTGCCCGTTTTTAGCGTGCTTTTTAGTGTATTTTTAACGGTCTTAGTCTTTTGCTAGCATTTATAACACAGTTGACGTCAATATAGTCATGAGAAATTCATGCAAACGACCTAGATGCCATTTTGCTGTTACATCTGACACACAGTGCGACAAACTGCAAAGGTTGGTTCCACGAAGCGTGCACAGATCCCATAGCAACTGCTCACAACAGACTCAGCAATTCGGATCATAAGTGGGAATGTGTTACGTGCAGCACGGATGCTGTAGTCTTGCTGAGTATCATCATTGTCCTACTGACAGGTCTGCGGAATAAGACAGTCATACAACAGGTAAGCAAACAAGGGCGCGCAACGAAAACAAGAATAGGGATGTCGATAGTTCTACCATCGCTGGAGCATGCATTAGCACTAAATATGACATGCTGAATCTCAGCACCATCATTACGTCGACGGTACTCGACTCCCTCAGCAAACTCGGGTCTCACAGCTCAAGGCCCGTGAACGCGACAGTGGTTCCCCAAAACTCTGTAGGTGGTTGGATCCACGTTATCAGAGCTAAAAAGAACCAGGCGTCACCGTCTAAGCTGAACATCCCAAGAATGTCCGTCCGGTCATCAAAGAGCCTAGGGTTCAGAAACGTGCTTCCATCTCCAAATAACATGGTGCTGAACCTGAATGCACCGGAAGACCTGGGAAAACAATAACGGTTCATGATGACTCTCTCATAATCATGAACCTCAAAGACAACCCTGACCTTCCTCTCAGTTTGCAGGACAAAAATGTCAGGATTCTATGGGGTGAATTGAACAAGAAACTTGAACTTTCTAGAAAAGAGCCTTTGACGGTCACACGGCTCACTCGGGGAAAGGGATCTAAGCATCAAAATCACTTCGTGTAACACTTGAGAATGCTAACGACGTAGAGGATGTCCTTCGAGCTAGTGATATACTGAAATTCAATGGGAACGTAAGAATACTGCCCGACATACTGTATTCTTAGAGCAATTTCATCCGCAGCATCCCTAAAGAATCTCGCGAGGAGTTTTTTCGCGGAAGAAATGTCATTGTGCAAGGTGTACTGGAAAACACGAACCCTAGTAAAAAAACTCTGATATTAGGGAGTGGACATTCATAAAACAGTTCTTGAGGTTCGAAAACATACTGACTCAACATGTGACGAGACTAGCCAAGAAGGACGGTGGTTCTAGACCCCGGATAATGAGGATAACCTTCCCATCCTCCCATAAGGCGACCGCAACTCTGGAAGCATTTCATGCCAACATATGTAGGTTGCCACCTGGATCCACATGCATCCGGACAGGCTATATGAAGCCAGGACCAAGCACAAAGACAAGTTGGAGCTCATCATTCCACTTGTGGACTGTCTTGATGATAAAAAAACGTGTAAAGGTCAGGGCCCACCAACTCGACAAACCTTATATAGGTAGGCTACCTGTCCATTCACGTAAGGCTCATACAGGAAGAAGCTCACGAGTTTGAAATTGAAAGCATAAACTGCTTATTTATTAACGCCGCAGGTCTATCAAACAAAATGGATGAGCTACGTGAACTCAACAGTGCTAGTAAGGTTCATCTGATAGAAATATCTGAATCTTGGATATCTTCTCAGTTCTCGGACCAGGAGCTAGCAATGCCTGAGACGCCTTTGTTTCTCAATGACAGAAAAACAGGAATTGGGGGTAGAGTAGCCACATACATACGATCTTGCCTGGAGGTACACCAAGTTCACAACCTCCAGTTTGACATTCTTGAGGAATCCAAATGGTGCTCTGTAAGATTTTCTACTACTTTGAGGTGTCTAGTCGGAGTCATATATAGGTAGCCCACCGCCGACATCGAGTATGACCGTCGTATGCTGGAAGAACTATCCAGCTCTACGCGTCTCGGTTTCACTCATATCCTGATTCTAGGGGACTTCAATCTCCCTAGAGTCAATTTCGCGGAACAATCGTATATTGAAGGTGAAAACTCAACTGAAGTTCGGTTCTACAACCTCATTGGGGATCTGGGATTATACAAAAATTTGAAGTCGGCAACGCGCTGGAGAAACAGTCAGACACCGTTGCACTGGGTATTAACAACTGAAGAACTTCTAGTTGACAACCTCTCAATCCCGGCTCCTCTGGGGAAAAGCGATCACGCCGTTATAGCCTTCAGTTTTGTTCGCAATACTGAGCTAAGATATCCCACCAACAACAGGCGCTGAAATTTTAAACGGTTGAACGTGTCAGCTCCACAGGAATATCTACAACAAGTGGATTGGAATGTTCATAGTCAACTCTATGTGGATACTCATTGGGACTTCTTATTGCACACGCTCTTATGTGCTACAAAGCAGTCAGTTCCTCGAACGGTCCCCAAAAGCTACAAGCAACCTACAATCATCAAGAACCCCACTCTTCGCCTGCTAAGCTGCAAAAGGCACCGTTGGGCGGAATACAAACGAACGGATAACGACGGAGCATACAGGCAATACAGACATATAGGGAAAATATCCACGAAGGCTATAGGAGAAGACAAGCTTCATTACCAGACAAAGCTTATGGATAAATTTGTCTCTAATTCAAAAAGATTATTCCGTTATGCAGCCTCTCTTCGTCAAGCTGAAACTGGGGTTTCCCAACTGCGAGGTTCTAACGGCCCGACCAATAACGACGGCGGCGCCGCTGACCTTTTGGCTGAACAATACTCTCGGACATTTCAACCGACTCACATCAACTATACTGGTGACAGCATCATTTGCAACTGCACAGGACTTTCCATAGTGAACCTGAGCGCTGACTTGGTGTTCCGGAAACTGCAGCACCTAAGAAAAGACATTCATCCTGGCCCAGATATGGTTCATTCTGCAGCAGCCTCAATCCTGGCAACACCGCTTAGCGTGATGTTCTCACACTCGCTAAACTGAGGATAACTACAGGAATATTGGAAGCTGGCTCACATCACACCAATTTCCAGAAGACGTCGAAACAATGAACCTTCAAGTTGCCGACCGGTGGCTCTTCACTCAGTACCATCGAAAATCATGGAGTCCCTGATATTCGACGGTTTAAACGACTATCTACTGTCCTTAAATTTCTTCTCACCCCAACAGCTTGGTTTCAGGAAGGGTTACTCTTGTATAACCAACCTGCTGACTGCGTTCGACAGATGGACAAGCTTCCCCGATCGCAAGGAGAAGAATGATACCATTTGCCTTGATTTCTCAAGAGCTTTTGATAAAGTTAACCACTTGTGTCTTATCAATAAGTTCAAACGATTGGGTATCAGAGCAACTCTAACTGATTGACTCACTTCATACCCGAAAAATAGACATTTGAGGTCAAGGTTAACTTCACTTTATCTCAGGCTATGGAATGTCCTAGTGGGGTCTCCCATGGATCAGTACTAGGACCTCTTCTCTTCTTGATTTATATAAATGATCTTCCTCAACAGGTAACGTCCGGCTTATTACTTTTTGCCGATGACGTGAAGCTTTGGAGAAAGATGCTCAATCAAGAGAATACAGGCACTTCAGGAGGATCTGACTCGACTTCAAGGTTGGGCAGATGACAACGGACTTACCTTCAACACTTAAAAGTGTAAAGTGGTCCATCTGCGACATGTCACAGACTACAGTTATAACTTGAGAAACTCCTCTCTAGAAGTATCCCGAGTTGAAAAAGATTTAGGTTTCCTGGTACCCTACAATTTGAAGTCCTACACTAATGATGAAAAAAATATATTTCGAGCAAACCCTGCACTGGTAACATTGAAGCGCATTTTTGGCCAGTTTGACGGAAGAACTTTTCACATAATCTTCAACACTTTAATTTGTACCCATTTATAGTACGGAAACATAGTATTTTCTCCCTCACTCCAAAAGGGTAAGGACACCCTGGAGCGCATCCAACGGCGAGACACGAAATCAGTTCGAGGATTCCAATTTAAACCTTATGAAGAGCTCCTCCAATCACTTAACCTTTACCCATTACAGTATAGGCTTCTTAGAGGTGACTTTCTGATGGTTTACAGTATCCTTAATACTTCTGGAAATCCCCTTAAACACCTACTTAAGCTTAGTCCCAATAACAACCCAAGAATTTGGAAACACAACATAGCAGAAAGGACTGTAGACACAACTTCTACTCCTTAAGAGTTGTCAAATGCTGGAATTCTCTGCCGGCCGAGCTAGTCCAAGTGACTTCCCAGGAGTCCATTAAGAGGCAACCTGATCTATTCTCAAAGACTAATGATAGTATCATACTATGATTTACTAATTTCTTTCTCCTCTTTTATCGTTAACATACCTAGGTTCCTGCCTGTAGGATTTGGTGATCCACTGCTACTAGACACGGAAGCCTGTTAAGCGAAAGATTCTTCTATTCCGTCCACAACCATTTGAACCCTTTGAACTCCTTCATTTCTGTCTTTCGATTTGACTGGCTTGGCATACTTCGATTGTAAAGGTTTTACTAGTTAAGGTGTTGTCAAAACTCCGAGTAATTACGGCATTTTTTAGTGGTAATACCGACTTGATGTGGTACACCAATTCTAAAACTGTGAGACTGTTTCTAGTCGAAACATCGTAAACTACTTCTTAATTGTTGTAGTTTACATATTGTGGTATCGTTTTCACATTTTCGGATTCTTTTCTCGTTCACTGGTATACTTTATATCCATCATGACGGGACAGACTTCCAAGTTATTTAAGATTATGACTCATTTGCCTCCC